TTCATAGTAAAAGATAAATATCCCAGTATCCATAAATGAAACAAAAATAAAATAATAAGTGTTATCTAATTCGAACCTTCTCTACTAATTAGTTTTTCATATTTTTGAATTCCATACAATAAAAGAATGATTGCATCATTAAACAGACATTTATTTCTATCTGTCGAAATCATTGTGATATTGAGATAATGTAATAGTGTTTTTTCATTTTTTTCATGTTTTTATAATGTATTATGATTGCAATTATAATCGAATTCGATGGCGGAAGATAAAATAAGGAGAAACCACTGACTTTGATTCCACCAGATAAAGATAGTGCCGTACTAGACCGAGCACTTTCCACTTGGGAAATTGGATGTAGAAATGGTTTTGCGGTGCTCAAACGACAACCTGTGTAATCGTCAAGCTAGAACGAGACGAAACAAGTGAAACCCTCAATAGGTAGCTGCAACACTCCTGTCGTTTCTATTGCCGTGGTTTTCTTTGCTCTTTCATTAAAAAGAATATCTATTGCATATAAAAAAAAGACGTACGCAAGAAATTCTTCCGAGCTTCCACTGTGAGAAACAAAAGATAAAGCAGACAATAGTGCCTCATTGTTGTGTGATACACGTAAATTTTATATTATTAATGATACAGCGATCCACTGATGGTTGTATGGAGAATACAAGTTTCTTTCAATGAATTCGAAAACGAATCCCGGTATATATCTTTAGAATAATTATGCTTACTGTGTCGATATATTTCGCTTATCAAGAATTCTACAAATTATTTAAGAATTGAGATCATACTGTTCCCAAATTGCTCAGCATACAATTTTCGTGGCGTTAGTAATATACATAGAAAATGTAAGGTATAAACTGAGTAGAATGATATTAATGATGTGAAAAAGGCAACTTGGTAAGATAAAGAAAAAATAAAAAAATAAAAAGGAATTATCCAAATATGAACACATTAACTTAATAAAAAGCAAAGTATATAAAAACGGGTTTTAAATAAAACAGTTTGGTGTTTAAAAAATTGTAGTACGTATTTATTCTAGATACAATGAAAATTCCGACAGAATTCACTAGTAGTGTACTTTCGACGTGAATTAGCAAAGAACAGAAAGGATTTCACGAGGGAAATGAAATCGACGGGCTTTGCGTGGCATGCAGCATGAACGAAGAAATCGGTATTGCAATTTACCGCGGAGACGACCATTCGCTCCCGCAGGCTTTCTTTAGAAATCTTGCCAACCCCTTCTAGGAGCTGCCTATCAATTAGCGGACCATTATGACAGGTAATCATCGTCTTTAGGCGACGTGCACACTGTCAGCCTTCTATTATACTATACAACGCGTTTCTGATTATGTAGATTTGTACTCGCGTGCCTTCGTCACTCGAAACATGGAAATCGGCGGCACACTTTTGCTTTACTACAACGCCGCCGCACTTTTAATTCGGCAAACTGGTTTCGTTTCCTATATTTCATCGCTTTTTATCGTTTCAATACGAAAGTGGCGCTTTCGATAACAGGTACACCTCGAGAAATAATAATATCACGGTCCAGCTCCTGTGTAATTTCATTCTAGTAAATGGAACAACCTGTAGAAATCTCTCTTGAGCGTAAATAGCGTAGAAATATTATGCTGGCTAATTTTACCTTTTATTCATTGATATTTTGGGTTTCTTAGATACCTTTTGGATTTTTATAGTAGTAGACGTTTATAGAACTTGAAATCGTTACGGTAAAATTTCGAACAATCTCCAAACATTTTGTATGTATCTTATTAACATTTTTATTAGGAGTAGATAATTTTAGTTTTCATCTACAAATTTCTACTCGTGAAAAAGAATAAAACAGCTTATATTTATTAATAAACGTCTAAGAAACGTTTATTCTATATTTTGTTCATATTTTGTTCTACATTTTCCTTTAGTTGAGGTGTTTGACTTTGTGGTTTTCATGTGTAATCTCTATTTACAAAACTACGCATTGATCAACTTCACGTGATTCAATATCACGTTAAGTTTAGGAAACAAAACGTACCTAAAAAGTTTTTCTAACACCATTGAACAATTTTAAATTGTAGAAAACTTGAAACAATTATGGAATTACCAAATACATATGGTAAATGTACCTATTACTGCGAATGTACGCTTTACTGCAGTATTTTTTCCCAATGAGATTAAACTAGTTAAAATAAATTTTTTCATAAGAACGTATTCTAATTAAAGCAAAAATATTGTCAATCATTCTTATGTGTTTAAAGATTTGAAAAAACATACCTCATCAAAGATTTTTTTATTCTTTAAGTACCTACTTTGTTGTAATAAAAATGTTAATATGAAAACTACTGCGGTACAAATATCACTAGGAATGTCGCTAATGCTGCAGTGTGAATTGCACATCTCTGATTAAAAACGTGATTTACTTCAGCCCATTCAGCTCTTAGGTTAGGTAACGATTCCGAAGAAGCAATTCTTTGGTATAATACTATATTATAAATAAAATACGTACATAATTATGGCTAAAATTAAATGGAAAATTAATGAAAAAGACAGTGAAGAAAATAAAAAAAAAAGTAAAATGAAGGGCGTGAGATCTAATTATGGAGCTGAAAACTTAATAAATGCTGTAAATGAGGTTATGAAAGGAAATAGTGTAGCTGCATCGAGCCGATTATATAATGTGCCTCAATCCACAATTAGAGCTCATGTGCAGGGTAAACATTCTAATAAAAAACCTGGGCCTAATACAGTTCTGTCTGAAGAGGAAGAAGACAGACTTGTGAAATGGATTTTTCATTGTGGTGACCAAGGCTTTCCAATAACAAAAGAACATTTGTTACAAAGTGTACAGTTGCTTCTGGTGGAATTGAAAAGACAAAATCCTTTCACCAATGGTGTACCGGGTCGTCATTGGTATGAAGGATTTTTAAGAAGACACAATAAAATTGCAACAAAATTATCAGAAAATGTAACTCTCAATCGTGCAAAAGTGTCTGAAACCAGTATGAAACAGTGGTTTAATGAGATTAAGCAGTATTTAGAATCTAAGGGCCTTTTGAATATTGACAGCAGCAGAATATTTAACTGCGATGAAACTGGACTTTCTTTGAATCCCAAAACCTCAGCAGTACTTGTTAAAAGAGGCACAAAATATGTTTATAAAATTGACGGTAACAGTGAAGAAGAAACTGTCACAGTGTTAGTTACAGCAAATGCTGCAGGTCAACTTGCGACACCTTTGATCCTATTCAGTGGTCATAAGGTACCACCTGAAGTGCAACAGTTGTTGCCTAGTGGTTTAAGTGCAGGTGTTTCAAATAATGGCTGGATGACAGCCAAAAACTTTTATGATTATGTGACTAATGTATTATATCCTTGGCTATTGCACAATAATATAGTATTTCCCATTATTTTATACATTGATGCACATTCCCCCCACGTAACACTAGCTCTTAGTGAATTTTGTCATAAAAACGGAATTGAATTGATGGCTTTAAAGGCAAATCCAATGCATATCCTACAACCACTTGATGTGTCGTTTTTTCATACCTTTCAATCTTTCTGGCAGAAAAATTGCATGGAATTTTGCAACAGCAACAATTTGTTAAGTGTCAAAAAATATCAAGTTGCAAACATCTTAAAAAGTACTTTTGAAAGTATTAAAGTAGCAAAAATTCTCCAAAATGGGTTCAGGACTTGTGGTTTATACCCTATTAATGAAAATGTTGTAAATTATGAAAAAGTTTTTAACAGAATCGCTAAAGTATCCTGCGAAGAAGAAAACATTCTAGTCAAACATACTTATGATACACAAAGTGGACTAAAATGTATTGAAAATGTTATTGGAAAAGATAAACTGCTTGTATTTAAAAGTTATGAAATTCGTCAATGGTGCGGCAAAAAGGAGGATGAAAATTTATTTTATTTATGGTTTGATTTATCACGCGAGGTACAACAAAAGGAAAATATAGAACAATATGTGAATGTGAGTATTTGAAAATTTCATCAGAAATGTATAATAGATGTGTTTATTATATATAAAAAAATCATTTTAGAAAATTAAAGTTGAGGACCATTTTTGTAATTGAGAGCAAATACCTCATGATTTGGGCTGTTCAATAAAGTATGAAAAATTATTTAAGTAAAAAGAAAGAAATGTTGAAAAAGAAAAAGGTGTTCATAATGTACTAAATTTAAAACAGTATGAAACTAAAGGTAATAAGTATTACCTAATTGAATACTTATTAAAAGAATGTATCTATATATATATATAGCTAAAGTATGCGAGATCTCGAAAATTTCGAGACGAGACCGTAACAGTATGTCACTTTCAACATCTTCGAGAATCTCGACATTTACGAAAATCTCGATATCTTCGATTAGGGACATACAGTGGGTGTAGAAAGTATTCGTACAGCAATCAATTTCAACAAAAACATTATAGAACTTTGTTTATTACAAAAACGTGTTAACAAAAAAGATGTGTACATATTCTTTAAAATCTTCAAAACAAATGTCACAAAAAAGAAATTGTTTATTTATATTCTTTATGAAACTATTAACAAAACTCTTAAATATGGATGAAAATATACGCATAATAAGTATTCGTACACTTCCAACTTTACAACAAGGTCTCTTAATTTTTATACATACACATAACAAAAATCAACTTGTTTGTTATTTTAGTATTTAGTTGGATTTCCTTTAGATTGTATAATCGCAATAAGAGCCAACGTGACATTGACTTTACTAACTTTCTGGTGATTGTACTCGAAATGTTATTCCATTCTTGCAGTAGTGCATTTTTTAAATCTTTTTTTGAACAAATATGGTGATTTCGAATCTTTTTTTCGAGATGACCCCATAAGTGCTCTATGACGTTTATGTCTGGAGACTGCAGAGAGATTGGTAAGGAGTGGTACATTATACAGGATCCATTGTCTTGTATTATAAGCATTATGCTTTGGATCATTGTCTTGTAAAAAGATATACCATCGATAAAATGGCGGGATCCATCCCCATTCGCACTCATACAGCCCCAAACTACAATCTTCCGCCATGCTTTATAATTCCATGCAAGTTTTCTTTTTTATGCTCGGTATTTTTTTTCCTCCATACCGTACACCGTCCATCTGATCCGAATATGTTAAATTTACTTTCATCAGTAAATATTACACGGTTCCAATACTCCATTGGAACGTTTACATATTCCTTTGCGAATTGCAGTCATTCTTTCGTTTAGTTGCGTTTACAAAATATTTCTTACGAGCTATTCTGCCATGATATCCTCTATCTCGTACGAAATTACGCACAGACACTGGTATTAAGGGCATTTTCATGTTCAGCTGCATTTTTTACCGCACTAATCTTTGGATTTTGTTATATTTTACGATTTACCCATCGGCCGGTGTATTCATTTATTACTCGTTTACGTCCGCACCTTGCTTTATTCCTTAAAGTTTTTCGATTTCCATATCTGTCAATGATGCCTTGAATTGTAAACATCGGTTAATTCACAATTTCCGAAACCTCTCGTAATGTTTTGCACTTATTATGCAGATTTATAATAATTTTTCTTTCACTTTCAGTTGTTTCCTTTCCTTTTCGTTCCATTTTAGGACTACTAACGTTACGTACATTAAATATAGGACACTACCTGTTCTGACAAAGTCTCTAGATATACTAATGATATTTAACCTTGACATTAAACGGATTACCAGATAATTATCATGTATACTGTAACGGAAAGCGTCATGGAACAGGAACTGTACGAATACTTATTACGCGTATATTTTCATCCATATTTAAGAGTTTTGTTAATAGTTTCATAAAGAATATAAATAAACAATTTCTTTTTTATGACATTTGAGATTTCAAAGAATATGTACACATCTTTTTTGTTATCACATTTTTGTAATAAACAAAGTTCTACAATGTTTTTGTTGAAATTGATTGCTGTACGAATACTTTCTACACCCACTGTACTTTCAGGGTCTCGCTTCGTCTTGTCTCAAACATCTTGGCCTCGAAATTTTCTGGGCATTTTTAGTATTTTTCTGTTATTTATTTATTTAGATATTGTCGTAATTATTGTAATCAAGTGATATAGATATAAGGGCTCCTTGCCCGCATGTTAATAACAATAATAATAATGTTATATTATAATATAGTATTAGAAATAAAATGTGATATTACATGATAGTGTTAAATAATAATTGTTTCAAAATATAGTAAATAAAAAATGATATGTTACTGTACTCAGAATTTATTTAAGTACGTAATATGTACCCAGATATGTAGTTTGTTTCCTTATAGTGTATTGTTTCCGTATACTTGCACATATACTTGTATATGCATATACATACATATACTTGTCTCCGCATATGTATTTCGAATTCTAATCCGCAATAATGGGTACGCAGTAATTGGTACATGGCCCCTCTTCATCCGCAATAATACATAAAAAATATAATTGATTTTATATTTCAATATTTTTTTATGTAGGGCCACCAATTTTGATTGATATCCAGAATACGTCATTCATAAATAAAATGTTCCAACATATTATTATTTCATGACAAATTAGGAGAAATATTCAAATAAAGCTCGATTATAAAAAATTGAAAACATAAAATCTTCTATATCTTCATCTATATTATGTCTTATATATTATTTGAATAATAATAATTTATTATCACTCTGTACCATTTTTAATCAATTTGCTTCGGCCGTATATCGGCAGTTTTATTATTTTCAGTAATTTCTATTCTGAATAGTTTTCAGAGTTTATTTAACATGGTATTTTTTTAAATGACCAATACATAATGCTACATCGCATTTAAAAACTGTTTCTTTTCGAACTAACATAGGTAAGCATACAACGCATCGCTTTGATATTTTGTTCCCCCTTGTTAGTGTTGGAGGTATCCGTACAGGAAAATGCCGGCCAGTATATCGCGTTAACGAATCATTGATAGATGATGCCGGTCTTACTCTTACATTTACTAAATATTTTTCGAAACCTAACCAGACTACTAATACATTGTAAATGTTAAACAAACAAACATTGCTAAAACCTTTAGCCATAATGTTTCTTTAATAGCCTCAAATAAGGACATATATTGAACCTTAGTTGATGATGCTGTCACGGACAGTTGCTTTTTCGAATTCCAAATAATTGTACATTTTTCGAACAATTTAAATATATACCCTGTTGTATTTCTTCTATCACAGGTATTACCTTCCCAATTGTATTCACCTCTTGTTTAATATCTATCTGAAATGATGTAGGTTTCAGTAGAAAAGGAAGGAGAGCGTTTCATCCGGGACCCGCTAGAGGACACATCATTAAGGCTATTCTAGCGGGCTCTTGCCTTAGACGTTGGAATGTCGGAAGGACGGTATACATATACAAACTGAGGTGGATCGGTTACTTACGAGAAAGGAGAATCCATCTACTGACGGGTCTGGAGGTAGTAGCCACATATCTTATAACTCTTTTGAGACAATTCCACAATTCTTTATTTCTCTTATTTGTATATCGACTCAAAATATTAATAGCTACACATAAATCAACCTACATTAAATAACCAATAAAATTTCGACAAGGTGCATCATATCCTTCATCTGAATTCAGAGCTTCATAATTAAGTTTACTTTCTAGAGGATTATGTACCGGATTGCAACTATCCATATTAAATTTCTTCAAAACTTTTTGAATGTAACTACTTTCATCTAGAGTTACTTTTTCACTAGTTCTTACAATCCGCAGCCCAAGAATTTAAACTTTTACAACACTTTTAAACAACAGTTGAATTTTATTTCAAAAGTAGCTGTTGCAATTATAAGATCATTTACATATAAAACCAAATAAATATTTTTAGAAACATTACCACTGTCTAAATTCCATTTAAAAACGCAGTTTTAACGTCCATTTGATGGATTAATAAATTAAATTGATTCACATAAGCAATTACAAATCTAAAACTTGAGATTTTTGCAATCGGGACAAAAGTTTCATTATAATCTATTAAATACTTTTGGCTAAAACCTTTTGCAACTAGATGAGCTTTATATTTGAATGGATTTCCAAATTCATCATTTTTAATTGTAAATACCGATTTAATATTTTTATCTTTAGGTTTTGATACTAATGTCCATGTCTTATTAATCAACAGAGAGTCAATTTCATTTCTAATTGCTCATTCCCATTTACCTTTATCATTTTTACTAATAATTTCCTGAAATGATATAGGAATATCACATACTAATGATTGTGCACATATCAAACAATCCATTGGTATATCCTCTTCAGTATTTGAAATATGGGGTTTCCTTTTAATCCTATCACTCCTTCTAGGTTCTGATAACATTCTTTTTATTATCTTTATGTTCGATATTGGTACTGTTTTGAGACAAAGACCTACCTCCCGAGATTATTTTCATTTTTTTAATTAGGGAGTTTTCACTATTTGTGCATTTTAATTTGTCTGCTTTTTTTATCACCAGACTTACTAAATTCATGTACTGACTATGTCAGAAACATTAGCTTTATCACCAAACTTACTAAATTCACCTATTGATTTTGACTTTATGTTAAAAACATCAGTTTTATCATCAAGATATTCCAAACTCAAACTATCTGATTTACAATTATTAGATTTTTTAAATTCTATTATATAATTTGATATTATGTCAGAAACTTCAATTTTGTTTCGAGATTTATTACCTTCAATCTCTTCAACTTTCGCTACTGGCCTTGACTTTAAGAAGTTTATTTTATCAATGATCACATCTCTATCAACAATGTACAACCTTGACATAACCTTTTATGTAACCTTCAGATAAATTATCATGTAGTACTATTTGAGTAACCAGTTCTACATCACTTGATCATTTCTTTATTTTCTAGTTCCAGAAATTTACTTGTTCCAATATGTCCCAAGCGTTCATGCCATAATTCAAAATTATCTTTTACAGTAGTATATATTTAAACAACCGAACTTTCTCATTTTCTACTTTGAAATCTACAGTAATAAGATTATTTGAGTACTTACCCATTATGATAACCTTACCATTTCTCAAGATTTTTACTCCCTCTTGATTAAATACAATTGTCATATCCATTTGTTGCATGTTTGACACAGACAACAAGTTAAATGGAACATTTGGTGAATATAAAATATTGTTTTATATTCACTTGTTATATTCAATGTACCCCATTTTGCTGCCTTTATAAAAGTATTGCATTTTGCCACTGAAATTTTAATTAGTGTCTTCAAATTTTGCAGTTAAAACTTCTCTGTTTATAATATGATTCGATGCTCCCGAATCCAGCAAAAATTGTATTTCTTCTTTTCTTTTATTTATACACTTATAATCACCTGCCATGAATACAATTCCGTTATCATTTGTACTAATATCCAGTTGTACACATTGTATAATCTGCAATCTTATTTGTTTTTCATATATTTTTATATTCCATTGCTTTTTTATAATAACGACAGTACTTCTTCAAATATCCCTTTCTCTGCCACATTAATAACATTTCATTACATATGTTGGATATGGTTTTGAACTACTAGATAATTTATAATTTGTTTTCAAATTTTGCNTTGTACACATTGTAAAGTTTGCAATGTTCTTTGTTTTTCATTATTTTTATATTCCATTCATTGTTTATAATAATGGCAGTTCTTCTTCAAATGTTCTTTTCTACCACATTCATAACATTTCATTACATATATTGAATGTGGTTTTAAACTACTAGACAATTTATCTTCAAATTTTGCTTGTTTTCAAAATGTATATTTTTAACAGAAAAATTTTGATCATATCTCTTCTTATTTTTATATCTCACTGCTTGGATCATCTTCGTATTTGTATCACAGTTTTCGTTCTCCAGCTTTACTTTATGATTTAAAAGTCTTATTTTTACAAAAGCTACACTTAAATTATTTTCTGCCGTGGTCTCAATTGCAGTTATGACTCCATCATATGATGATGGAAGTGTTAAAAGTAAATATGATATTACATCTACTTTTCCCAATTTAGCATTTTTTTTAGTTTTTTACTTTTTTTTACTTTTCCATGCAGCATTTAGTTCACTTACTAACCCATCAAATGGGTCTTTTTTGTAATTTTAAACCAAGCAATTTGTTAGACAGAGCCAGTTGAGTTAGAAGACTTTCACAATGTCCAAATTTCTGAAAATTACTTTTACGTTTTCCTCTAGTGTTACAAAGTTTAATAGAGAATCTGAATCAAACCACAAATAAAATAAATTTTCATCTTCCTTTCTGTCACACCATTGACGAATCTCATAACTTTTAAATATAAGCTTATCTTTTCCAATAGCATTTTCAATACATTTTTGTCCACTTTGTTCATAAAGACTACAATGTCAAGACTATACTGTCTGACTATAATGTTTTCCTCTTCGCAGGATACTTCAGCGATTCTGTTAAAAACATTTTCATTAATAGGGTATAAACCACAAGTCCTGAACCCATTTTGGAGAATTTTTGCTACTTTAATACTTTCAAAAGTACTTTTTAAGATGTTTGCAACTTGATATTTTTTGACGCTTAACAAATTGTTGCTGTTGCAAAATTCCATGCAATTTTTCTGCCAGAAAGATTGAAAGGTATGAAAAAACGACACATCAAGTGGTTGTAGGATATGCATTGGATTTGCCTTTAAAGCCATCAATTCAATTCCGTTTTTATGACAAAATTCACTAAGAGCTAGTGTTATGTGGGGGGAATGTGCATCAATGTATAAAATAATGGGAAATACTATATTATTGTGCAATAGCTAAGGATATAATACATTAGTCACATAATTATAAAAGTTTTTGGCTGTCATCCAGCCATTATTTGAAACACCTGCACTTTAAACCACTAGGTAACAACTGTTGCACTTCAGGTGGTATCTTATGACCACTGAATAGGATCAAAGGTGTCGCAAGTTGACCTGCAGCATTTGCTGTAACTAACACTGTGACAGTTTCTTCTTCACTGTTACCATCATTTATTGTGTCTTCTTAAAAATCCTTCATACCATTGACGACCCAGTACACCATTGGTGAAAGGCTTTTGTCTTTTCAATTCCACCAGAAGCAACTATACACTTTGTAACAAATGTTCTTTTGTTATTGGAAAGCCTTGGTCACCACAATGAAGAATCCATTTTACAAGTCTGTCTTCTTCCTCTTCAAATAGAACTGTATTAGGCCCAGGTTTTTTATTAGAATGTTTACCCTGCATATGAGCTCTGATTGTGGATTGAGAGGTACATTATACATATAATCGGCTCGATGCAGCTACACTATTTCCCTTCATAACCTCATTTATAGCATTTATTAAGTTTTTAGCTCCATAATTAGATCTCACACCCTCCATTTTACTTTTTTTTTTTATTTTCTTCACTGTCTTTTTCATTAATTTTCCATTTAATTTTAACCATAATTATGTACGTATTTTATTTATAATATAGTATTATAACAAAGAATTGCTTCTTCGGAATCGTTACCTAACCTAAGAGCTGAATGTGCTAAAGTAAATCAAATTTTAATCAAAGGTGTGCAATTCATACTGTAGCATTAGCAACGTTACTAGTGATATTTGTACCGCAGTAATGAGCTCCTTTTTCATATTAACATTTTTGTTGCAACAAAGTAGGTAAAAACTTTTTAGGTTCATTCTGTTTCCTAAACATAACGTAACATTGAATCACATGAAGGTGATCAACGCGATAGTTTTGTAAATAGAGATTACGTATAGAAACCACAAAATCAGATGCCGATTATACACCTCACAAAAGAAAAATATAGTACAAAATGTGAATGTAAGTATTTGAAAATTTCGGTTGAAATGTATAATAGATACGTTAATTATATATTAAAAAAATCATTTTAGAATATTAAAGTTGAGAACCATTTTTGTAATTGAGAGCAAACATCCCATAATTTGGGCCGTTCAATAAAGTATGAAATATTATTTAAGTAAAAAGGAAGAAGTGTTGGAAAAGAAAAAGGAGTTCATAACGTTCTGAATTTAAAACAGCATGAAACTAAAGATAATAAACATTTCCTAATTGAATATTTATTAAAAGAATGAAAGCATAATATGTCCTTAATCGAGAATGTCGAGATTTTCGATGATGAAAGCGACATACTGTCAAGTTAAATACATTCTTTTAATAAATATTCAATTAGGAAATGTTTATTAAAAGAATGTAT